TGCCAGCTCTTGGAGCAGTGAGACTCTGCTGGGCCCCACCAAAAGGATTGCAACTAAGATGACTACCTGAGCCCTCTGACTTCATTCCCAGCATGCCTGGAGCCAGGGTGGGAGGCAGAAGGAACTAGAAACCTCTGTTTGGGCCAGTAGGGAGGCTTCTGCATGAGGAGATCTGCACAAGCAGGCCACTGGACCAGTGACAATCCAGAGCTGCACAGACAGCCTGACTTTACACTCAGACAGGGTTAGTTTCTGTTTGGAAGCTGGGAGAAGAAACAGCTCAGCTGAGGGAGTCCCCGCTAAACTCCCACTTCCCCCCAGGGGAATCCTTGCACTGCAGTGAGATCCAGCTGCATGGACCAGGCAGTTCAGCACTGCCATGACCAGCATTCAGGGAGAGAGCAAGCTCCAACCCAGCACCAGCTACTGAGCGACAGCTGAGACATGCACAGACTTTCAGACCTGGCAATCCAGTAGTAGTCCAGAGAGGACCCTGCCCCACACAGGGGCGAAGACCTTTTGTTCAAACCAAACAATGCCACAGCACTGCAGCAGTCCATCTCGGGACGTAAAACCTCAGCGCACCATCCACCTAGGAACGTGTCGTAGGAATGTGTCAGCGGGGGGAGCTGGGCTTTGGAGGCGTTGTGAGTGTTTAGAAGTGGGAGGTTGGTTTGTTTATCAGTGTTTATTAATTATTAGTTAACCACAATCCCTTCTTTTCCAGATCCTATTTTCCTGTTCTCTGTAGCCACCCCCTCTGTTATGCTCTTATTATTGGCATGTGATTCCTTTCCTGGAGTTTGTTTTATTTACTTTATTGTCCCCTGTGCACTGGGCTTTATGCCCCCTTGCCATTTTCCCAAGGGACAACACCCTCCATGTCTCAGGCACAGTGAGGAGTCACCTTGTGTGGAGGCACCAGCTGCTAGAATATGAACCCAGGACCTGACCCACATGAAGAGAGGGGAGAAGCCCTCTAAATATGGGTGGTAGCAAGCACCAGGGAGAGAAAGGAGAGAAGGCATAAGCCACAGTGCAGGGGAGGGGCTACAGAAGGGGATCAGCTAAATGGAAAGGAAAGGAAACGGGAGGGAAAGGGGGATGAAGAGGACAGGGCTGGGGTGAAGAGGGAAAGAGGGGCAGGTGTGGAATGAAGGTGATGTGAAGAGACTGTGAGGGAAAGTGAGGGTTGGAGCAAAAACCTAATCAGCACAGGACAGAGAATGTCCAGCCAAAATTGTAGAAAGTTCACTGAGTGTCGAGATGCTTTGGCTGCGTCTGCTCCTACGGCTGGAGTCTCATTGCTTATTGTCTTACTTTAAAAAATATTCCCAGCCCAACTTCTGTGTTGTTCTGACAGATTCCTGCCCATGGGCAACTATGGAACAGAAGCAACTATGTTTCAAAACATGATGAGTTTTCTTAAAAAATAGTGTACAGAGTGCAAAAATCTCTATTGTTGAGCTCTGAGCACCTCTTTCCTGACTCCCGTTTCAAGCCCCAGTAAGCACATTCATATGAAGGGGGGAAGAATCCCAGTCTTTCTTTGTTTAATCCATCACAGCTGCCAAGTGAACTGGTTCTAATAACAATCTCTGGTACTCATGCAGGGCCTTTCCTCTGAGGTTCTCAAAGCACTTTAGAGATGTTAGCTGATTAGACCTTACAATAACCCAGTGGTGTAGGTAAGTAATGATGGGTTTGATTCTCTTCCTAGGTTGCAGGCATCCAGAAGTGATAAATCCATCTGGACTATGGGGAACCATTGGCATAAGCTGCCTGCTTCTGCCATTCCATCAGTGGGCCTGGAGCTGGCTAGCAGAGATACAAAAATGGGAAGGGTCTTCCCAGAGAGTGAACAAAGCAAGGCAGCCAGAAGAGACGCTCATAAAGAATGTCTCATGGGGAGATTGCATTGCAGGGGTTCTTATGCACTCAGAAATTTCTGATTCTCAGTCCTGTCCTCAGACCATAAACCTCTCTACAAAATTCTGTCTCCTCCATTGCATCCCCAAGCATAGTGCCCTTCCTCTCAGATTGACAGGCTTGGAGCGTGACGTCCTCTATTTACCCACGGAATATATACAGCACAGGGAGTAACAACCTTGATCTAAGAAAATATTTTTCCCCACAATGCACAATTAGCAAGGGAGGAACTCCTGGCCACAAGATTTCACTGAGATCCAGAGCACAGCAGGATTCAAAAAGGGATTTGACATTTATATGGATGACAAGCCTATTCAGTGATAATAGTAAATACTTTTAAAGAGTTCTGGAATGGACATAAATTTCCATGGTTGAGGGCTTGTCAGCTTCTAACTAATGGAGGTTAGGAGGACATTTTCTTTGAGGGCATATTAGCCCATAACTGCCTATTACAAGGGTTCTTGTAAATCCCTCTGAAACTGGGTGATCCAGTCAGTGATAAGATACTGGACAAGCTGGACCTGTAGTCTGATCCAGTATGTCAGTTCCTATGTATCAGCTTTCTCCACCACTGTTCCATAACCCTGATCTGCTGTGAGCACTTCCAGTAGTGAGAGGGTAGTCTCCTTCTGCATTCAGTCCTTGGTCTCCTTCTGAATTGCTTAGTCAATGTGAACTGAGATGACAGTTTTTGCGCTATGTGCGCAAAACTGTGGCCTTGCTTACTAGGCACTGTCCTTATTTCATAAGGGCCATTGAACAGCTGTCAGATGTTAACCATATTTAGTCAACTACCATCATGGGTGGGATTGCAGGGGCCAATTTGAAATGACAGCTTCAGAGCAAAACCAGACTGGGTTTTGCTCAGTGATGGTGTCAGCAGTATCACAGCTGGAACACTCAGATAATCTCGTCAAAAAGGAGCAAAGCAGAAAACCACATTTTCCATGCTGGGTTGCTACCAGTTGCCTGGGCACCAGCAGTAAAAAATCTCCAGTGAAATGCTTTCTTGCAGATCTAGTATAAATAAAAACAATGAGGAGTCCTTGTGGCACCTTAGAGACTAACAAATTTATTTGAGCATCAGCTTTTGTGGGCTAGAACCCACTTCATCAGATGCATGGAGTGAAAATACAAGAGCAGGTATAAATACATGAAAGGATGGGGGTTGGTTTACCAAGTGTGAAGTCAGTCTAACGAGATAAATCAATTAACAGCAGGACACCAAGGGAGGAAGAACAACTTTTGAAGTGGTAAGAGAGTGGTTCATTACAGACAGTGGACAAGAAGGTGTGAGTAACAGTCAGGAGAAATTAGTATTGGAGAAATTAAGTTTGGGTTTTGTAATGACCCAACTACTCCCAGTCTCTATTCAGGCCTAATCTGATGGTATCCAGTTTGCAAATTAATTCCAGTTCTGCAGCTTTACATTGGAGTCTGTTTTTGAAGGTTTTTTTGTTGAAGAATTGCCACTTTTAGGTCTGTTATTGAGTGACCAGAGAGCTTGAATGGAAAAGACAACAACCAACTGAGTCGACTGGAAGGGAAAGGAGCAAAGTCTGGTTACAGCACATTGAGACTATATGCAGTTATAATGAATGATAAAACAGCTCACTGGAGAATGTGGATACAGGCACAGTAAAAATTCTAATAAATATCTGAAACAATGCCTTGATTATATTTGTGTTGTAAGGTGTCAGTACAATTCAACTCCCTATACATCCCCCTGAAAATACATTTCCTTCCCTGAATGTGCTTTCATTAACTCTCCAAAATGCTTCTGTTTTTAACAACCAGTTTATCTGAGGGGTTTGATTTTCTTGCATGTGACATAGTTTTGGAATGGTAGATGTTTTTAGTCACTAATCACAGCCATGTACCTATAAGGTACATATTCAAACTGCATGGATGAATAATCTCTATGCTCACTGCGGGGGGTTTCTTTTCTTTTTCTTTTTCTTTATGGTTCTTCTAGGCTAAGCTTCTATTTTCTCTTGACTTTAGAGCAATGAATATGCTGGCACAAAGGCTTTGGGATAATTCATAAGCAACAATCTGTAGCAATTTGCAGACTGATTTGGATCACCTAAATCGTTACGATGAAAGCATAGGGGAAGATTCAAACTGCCTCTAATTTAAAAAAAAAAACAACCTTCCACATTACAAAATCACTGTGGGTCAAATCCAGAGTAACTCTATTGACTTTAATGGAGATATTGCAGGTTTACACCAGTGTTCCTGAGAGCAGAATTTAGCCCTGTGTGGCAACACTGCACAATTTCATACATTTCAAACAGGCAGAGGAATGAATTACAGCTGCCAGGTTGGTTGTTTTGCTCAAATGAAGAGACACAAAGCAGCACACAGGCCCGTGTGTAACTTTTAGCAGGGCTCCTTAGCACTTGACCTTTTGGCAACAGTCTCGCCAAGATAAACAGATTATCTCTGTGATGACACAGATTCCAGAGCTTGTGCACAGAGACATGAGAGGAAAACGTACAACAGCACTAAAGGTCCTACTGATATTTCTACACCTGGCACCTGAGGTTTATATAAACACCGGACTATTACACATCACATGCTTGCATGCGCCTGACAGAAGTGTTTTAAACAGAAAATGTTTGCTTCCTCATGACCTCGTCCTTTGCAAAGCATAAATTAATCGGTTGAGAGATTCCATTGACTAACATGAACTATAAAGAAAGAAGTGCTGTGCATCTCTGTGTTCGCTAAGGAACAATGACTCTTTGGAGAGGCCTTGAACTTGCTAGCATCTCTGGAGCTCACGACTCGTACAGTATTTATCGGGGGCAGAGGCAGGATTGCCCGCACTCCTATCCATGGTTTGATGATGCTAACTAGCCAATGGTGAGCCCAGTGATCTCACACTGGTGTAAACCAGTGAAGTAGAAGAGTTCAGATTCAAGCCCAATCTGGACATGGATGAGACCGCTCTGGACAGCACTTTCAACTCCACTGCATTTCAGCCAGGTACACAGGAAAAGCCCCAGGAACTTTTGAATTTCATTTCCTGTTCGATCAGTGTGGAGAGCTCACCACCACAGCTGACCATGCCTGCCCAGGGCCACAAACACGTTCCAGCGTGGAGTATACAGCAGACACTGGATCTAATTGCTGTGTGGGGAGAAGAGTCTGTGCAGGCAGAGCGCCAAACCATCAGAAGAAACGCTGACATCTATGCCAAAATCGCACAGCGCCCGGGGGACAAAGGCTGCACCAGAGACACACAGCAGTGTCATGTGAAAATAAAGGCCCTCAGGCAAGTCTACCAGAAGACAAGGGAGGAGAATAGTCGCTCTGGTTCTGAGCCACAGACATGGCACTTCTATGAGCAGCTGCATGTGATTCTAGGTGGGGACCCTGCCAGTACTCCAATTCTCTCGCTGGATACCTCCCAGGGGCCCCAGGTGGCCATGGGCAACAACGAGGGGGACATTGTTGATGAGGAGGAAGAGGAGGAGAATGCACAGCAGGCCAGCGGAGGATCCATTCTCCCTGACAGCCAGGACCTCTTCCTAACTCTGGAGCCAATCCCCTCCCAGGACCTACTGCTGCGGGGCCGTGATGGTGAGCGCACACTTGTAATAACACTACAGGGGTTAAATGCAGTTGTGGTTACTGTTTAATTTGAGGTAAACAATTGGGATACAGTGCCGGCCTGGCCAGCTATGCGAAGGGTGCTCCCCAGAAAAGCCTGTTTATGTGCCAAGAGCTTCCCCACCAATAAATGTCCCTGTGGGTGCCCTCACACCACCTACCCTTTCTTGTGTGCTTACCATGGTTGCCTGCAAACCGAAATCTGTTGCCCAGTGCTCTTCCATGTGCTGTACCGTACTGGTTGGTGCTTCTTTTAGAAGACAAAATGTGTCCGTGTACCTCAGAGAATGTATATACTGCTGTGAAGTGTTTCATTCATTGCACAAATGAACCTTGTGTTTTCAACAATGTATGTTTTTCCTTGCAGCTGCAACCTTGTCTGTGGGTGCTTTCTCCACACCAGCACAAAGGCTGTCCCAGATTAGAAGGCGAAAAAAGCGGACCAGGGAAGACAATGTTCTGTGATTTGATGCATTCCTCCAAGACTGACAGGGCCCAGCTGAATGCATGGAGGCTTACACTGTCGGAGAGCATGCCCAAGAGGACGGCAAAGCATGCAGAGAACAAGAATGTAACACACAAGAGAAGATGTTGCAGCTTATGGAGGAGCAAACAGACATGTTGAGGCATCTGGTTGAGGTGCAGAAAAGGCAGCTAGACCTTAGAGTCCCACTGCACTCAGTGATGAACCAGCTGCCCTCCTCACCAAGTTCCATAACCTCCTATCCCAGACGTCCATAGCTTTGATTGCTAGACAATGCACTTGTAATAAGCTATGTGTGCTTGCCCCTCCCCCCGTGTTATCAGGCCCTTAGACCCGGGTTATCATTGCTATTCATTGCTTTCTCTGTTCAGTGTTTGTTAGCATAATAAAAATGTGTGGATTGAGGACAAGAGGCTCTTTATTCACTGTGCACCCTGAGGTTGGTGTGGGTTTAGTTTACAGAGCAGTACATGCGAAAAAGGGGGCAGCTTGGTAAGGAACAACACACAGAACTGTCACATAAGTGTTGGATCATTCTTGGAACTGGTTTTCAAAGCCTCTCGGAGACGCAGTGTGCCTTGATGTGCTCTTCTTATTGCTCTGGTGTCTGGCTGCTCAAAATGGGCTGCCCGGCAATCTGCATCAAACCTCCCCCTCCCCCCACCCGCCATAAACTTTTCCCCCTTACTTTCACAGATATTATGGAGCACACAGCGAGCAGCAACAACAATGGGAATATTGCTTTCACTGAGGTCTAACCTAGTGAGTAAACTGTGCCAGCACCCCCTTAAAGATCCAAAGGCACATTCTACCTCCATTCTGCACTTGCTCAGCCTATGGCTGAACTGCTCTTTACTGCTGTCCAGACTGCCTGTGTACGGCTGCATGAGCCATGGGAGCAAGGTGTAGGCTGGGCCTCCCAGGATAACTAATGGCATTTCAACATCCCCAATGTTAATTTTCTGTTCTGGGAAGAAAGTTTCTTCTTGCAGCTTTCTGAAGAGACTGGAGTTCCTAAAGATGAGTGCATCATGTATCTTTCCTGACCATCCCACGTTGATGTTGGTGAAACGGCCCTTGTGATCCACTAGCGCTTGCAACACGATTGAGAAGTACCCTTTCTGGTTTAGGTACTGGTTGGCAAGGTTGTCTGGTGCCACAATAGGGATACGTGTTCCGTCTATCGTCCCACCACAGTTAGGGAACCCCATCGCTGCAAAGCCATCCACTCTGTCCTGCATGTTTCCCAGAGTCATTACCCTTCTTAGCAGAAGTGAATTCATTGCCCTGGCTACTTGGATCACAGCAGCCCAGAGGGTAGATTTACCCACTCCAAACCGATTCCCAACTGACCAGTAGCAATCTGGCATTGCAAACTTCCACAGGGCTATCACCACTCACTTCTCAACTCTCAGAGCAGGACTCATTTTGGTATTTCTGCACTTCAGGGCTTGGGAAAGCAATTCGCAAAGTTCCATGAAAGTGGCCTTATGCATTCGAAAGTTATGCAGCCACTGGGAATCATCCCATACCTGTATAACTATGCAGCCCCACCAGTTTGTGCTTGTTTTCTGGGCCCAGAAGTGGTGTTACATTGTGTCAACAAACCCTGCTGTTGCTGCCAGCATTTGCAAATTGCTCCATTCAATGGCTTCCAGCACAGCTATTTGTGTGGCATCACATTCTTCCACACAGCAGCTCCTGGCTGGGCTCTGCAAATGCTACAGCCCCAAGTGGGGTCCCTGCTTGCCATGCTATGGCATCTACACGAGCAACCCAGACTTAGACGCGAAAATGATTGTTTACTGTTGCTTTCAGGGACGGAAGGAAGGATGGAGGGAGGAGGCAAGTGCATCATGGGAAGCTGATGATATGTACCCAAAACAACTCGCAAAAGTGTTTTTGTCCCATCAGGCATCGGGAGCCTAACCCAGAATTCCAATCAGCAGCAGGCACTTTGGGATAGCTGCCTACAGTGCGTCGCTCCGTGAGTTGATCCTAGCCATGGAATGTGCATAGTGGGGACATGCGGCATCGACTTTGTAAAATCAGAGGCTAAATGTCGACTTAAATAAATACGACCTAATTTCGTCGTGTAGACATCCTTAGTCTGCAGTTAGGGGTCTATTGCTAGCAGAGGGAGCCCAAGTACAGACAAAGGAGTGTGTAAACGTACAGCCAGCAGAGGGTGATGGACCACAGATAGTGCACAGCAGAAAAAAAATGGCAAAGATGGCAAAGATGGCAAAGAAAGAATCTCTGGAATTTAGTGTGAACAGAGAAACTTCACCTCATGCATCGGAAAGCCAGACGACCATGGGAATTTAAATAATTTCTCTGTGACCATTATGTGCAAACTACACATGCTGAGAAGGATTCCTGGGCACCTTAAGTTATTTTCAGAAAGTGCCAGAAGGAAGGACACATCACACAGAAATCTGATGAGGTTCAATAAGGATAAGTGCAGGGTCCTGCACTTAGGACGGAAGAACCCAATGCACAGCTACAGACTAGGGACCGAATGGCTAGGCAGCAGTTCTGCGGAAAAGGACCTAGGGGTGACAGTGGACGAGAAGCTGGATATGAGTCAGCAGTGTGCCCTTGTTGCCAAGAAGGCCAATGGCATTTTGGGATGTATAAGTAGGGGCATAGCCAGCAGATCGAGGGACGTGATCGTTCCCCTCTATTCGACATTGGTGAGGCCTCATCTGGAGTACTGTGTCCAGTTTTGGGCCCCACACTTCAAGAAGGATGTGGATAAATTGGAGAGAGTCCAGCGAAGGGCAACAAAAATGATTAGGGGACTGGAACACATGAGTTCTGAGGAGAGGCTGAGGGAGCTGGGATTGTTTAGCCTGCAGAAGAGAAGAATGAGGGGGGATTTGATAGCAGCTTTCAACTACCTGAAAGGGGGTTCCAAAGAGGATGGATCTAGATTGTTCTCAATGGTAGCAGATGACAGAACGAGGAGTAATGGTCTCAAGTTGCAGTGGGGGAGGTTTAGATTGGATATTAGGAAAAACTTTTTCACTAAGAGGGTGGTGAAACACTGGAATGCGTTACCTAGGGAGGTGGTAGAATCTCCTTCCTTAGAGGTTTTTAAGGTCAGGCTTGACAAAGCCCTGGCTGGGATGATTTAACTGGGAATTGGTCCTGCTTTGAGCAGGGGGTTGGACTAGATGACCTTCTGGCGTCCCTTCCAACCCTGATATTCTATGATTCTATGATTCTATGATCACTGTGACCTGTCGCACAGTTCAAAATCAGCAAAATAGAGTAATGATACATCCAAGAAAAGATCTATGATGACAGAATGAGGGAGGCAACCTAGTGACAGAGGATGTGGAAAAAGCTAATGTACTCAATGCTTTTTTTGCCTCTGTCTTCACGAACAAGGTCATCTCCCAGACTACTGCACTGGGCAGCACAACATGGGGAGGAGGTGACCAGCCCTCTGTGGAGAAAGAAGTGGTTCGGGACTATTTAGAAAAGCTGGACGAGCACAAGTCCATGGGGCCGGATGCGCTACATCCGAGAGTCCTAAAGGAGTTGGCGGATGTGATTGCAGAGCCATTGGCCATTACCTTTGAAAACTCATGGTGATCGGGGGAGGTCCCGGAGGACTGGAAAAAGGCTAATGTAGTGCCCATCTTTAAAAAAGGGAAGAAGGAGGATCCTGGGAACTACAAACCAGTCAGCCTCACCTCAGTCCCTGGAAAAATCATGGAGCAGGTCCTCAAGGAATCAGTTCTGAAGCACTTAGAGGAGAGGAAAGTGATCAGGAACAGTTAGCATGGATTCACCAAGGGCAAGTCATGCCTGACTAATCTAATTGCCTTCTATGATGATATAACTAGCTCTGTGGATGAGGGGAAAGCAGTGGACGTGTTGTTCCTTGACTTTAGCAAAGCTTTTGACACCATCTCCCACAGTATTCTTGCCAGCAAGTTGAAGTATGGGCTGGATGAATGGACTATAAGGTGGATAGAAAGTTGGCCAGGTTGTCGGGCTCAACAAGTAGTGATCAATGGCTCCATGTCTAGTTGGTAGCCGGTATCAAGTGGAGTGCCCCAAGGGTCGGTCCTGGGGCCGATTTTGTTCAATATCTTCATAAATGATCTGGAGGATGGTGTGGATTGCGCCTCAGCAAGTTTGCAGATGACACTAAACTGGGAGGAGAGGTAGATACGCTGGAGGGTAGGGATAGGATACAGAGGGACCTAGACAAATTAGAGGATTGGGCCAAAAGAAATCTGATGAGGTTCAATAAGGACAAGTGCAGAGTCCTGCACTTAGGATGGAAGAATCCCATGCACCGCTACTGACTAGGGACCAAATGGCTCGGCAGCAGTTCTGCAGAAAAGGACCTAGGGGTTACAGTGGACGAGAAGCTGGATATGAGTCAACAGTGTGCCCTTGTTGCCAAGAAGGCCAATGGCATTTTGGGATGTATAAGTAGGGGCCTTGCCAGCAGATCGAGGGACGTGATTGTTCCCCTCTATTCGACATTGGTGAGGCCTCATCTGGAGTACTGTGTCCAGTTTTGGGCCCCACACTACAAGAAGGATGTGGAAAAATCGGAAAGAGTCCAGTGGAGGGCAACAAAAATGATTAGGGGGCTGGAACACATGACTTATGAGGAGAGGCTGAGGGAACTGGGATTGTTCAGTCTGTGGAAAAGAATGAGGGGGGATTTGATAGCTGCTTTCAACTACCTGAAAGGGGGTTCCAAAGAGGATGGATCTAGACTGTTCTCAGTGGCAGCTGATGACAGAACAAGGAGTAATGGTCTCAAGTTGCAGTGGGGGAGGTTTAGGTTGGATATTAGGAAAAACTTTTTCACTAGGAGGGTGGTGAAACACTGGAATACGTTACCTAGGGAGGTGGTGAAATCTCCTTCCTTAGATATTTTTAAGATCAGGCTTGACAAAGCCCTGGCTGGGATGATTTAGTTGGGGATTGGTACTGCTTTGATCAGGGGGTTGGACTAGATGACCTCCTGAGGTCCCTTTCAACCCTGATATTCTATGATTCTATGATTCATGAGAACCTAAGGAAGGATCAAAGTTGGAAATTCATAATGTGGAAGAAGACAAGAGCTGTAGTGACACTGACCAAGACTTAGCATTCAGGGGTGGCCAACCTGAGCCTGAGAAGGAGCCAGAATTTACCAATGTACGTTGCCAAAGAGCCACGGTAATATGTCAGCAGCCCCGCATCAGCTCCTCCACCCCCACTCCCAGCGCCTCCCACCCACCGGCACCCCCACCCATCAGCGCCTCCTCCTCCCTCCCTGCACCTCCTGATCAGCTGTTTCGTGGTGTGCAGGAGGCTCTGGGGGAGTGGGGAAGGAGCGAGGGCATGGC